ATGATGTAACAGTAAAAGAAGGTTCTTACCCGTTGTCCGTTGTCCAGCACATGCCAGGCACATAGAGTAGTAACTATTTATACATTTATAGTCGCGAGACCCGCACGGTCCCCTAACTATACGGTCCACAGCATCATGTAAAGAATAGCTGTCTGGAGTATTGATGTCTTCTGGCTCGGGCAATACAAACTTGGGGGCTGAAGATGGGTACGTAGGTAAGATATCCATGTAGTAGTATTTGGAATTCAGATAATAAAAGTCCACTGTGTTCCATCTGGTTCTAAAGATGGTGCCGTTTGATAATCTGTAGGCAGCCGTCGCAAGTACCCCCGAAAACCCCAGGTTTCTACATGCAAGATCTGCCAGAGCCATCTTCAGGCCGGATCCCTCGAGTATGACCGGATCCCATCCCCGCACAGGTCCCCACTGTTGCGTGACGTCATCGTACAGCTCCACACAGCCGTAGAACTCTCCCCCCACCAGCCGGATCCCGTTGGTCTCGTCTGTTACCATGGTAGCGTTGTTAAAACGACCTGTGACGCGTTTAGGAAATGGCAGGAAAGTTAAGAAAAAAGTATATAGGGTAATATACCCCCATGGACGCCTGAATATATTTGGGGGAGGGGGGTGTTGATAAATACATCCGTTTGCTAGGGAAATGTTTTCTTTGGAGGTTGTTTTATTACCTCCATGGTACTTTATATAAGGCCATGAAGGCCAAAGCAAATTAAGCCATAAGACACCGCTAGATCGATCGTAAAACTGTACAAATCATCTGTTGAGTCACAAAATGTTTACCCAAACACACTGGCTGTGTCCCCAACCAGGTCCTGTTGCCTCTATTGCAGTAGTAGTCACCGTCAGAGATGTCAATGTAGTCGCTATACGGAGGTCCGACTAAGAAGTCTGCTTCGTTTGGGCACGTAACGTTGCAGCGTCCAAGGATCTCTAACCACAAATTTTCACCTGTCCAATCATCCCTTATGTCGTGATAGGTGTAGTCACAGTCGATTTTGACGCCATCGGTGTCCCATGGAAAGTCCCCACAAGGCTTGGGGTCTGAAATGAATGATAAAAAGATATCAGTTTACAAAATCTGCACGTACATATCATAATTCATAGTGTGTATAATGGATGGAATGGCTTTGTCATTTGTGAGAGAAATATTCCCTAGAAAGTCAGGAAGTTTGATCTTGTAAGGTTTGCACCAGGTCTTGGTGGTTCAGCACTGGTTTAATGCCTCATTGTTAATAGCAATCCTGTTTGTGACTGTAAGGTGAATCCCAAGCCTATTCTCCCCCTTCAAGAGTTACATTTTTCAAAACGTATGCTAAAGGTAAAAAAATGATGATGTAGCAGTAAAAGAAGATTCTTACCCGGGGAGTCATCCTGTTTGCGTTGTCCTGCACAAGCCAGGCACATAGAGTAGTGTCTAGTGCACTCGAAGTCGCTAGGCGTCGACCCGCACGGTCCCCTAACTATACGTTCCACAGCATCATGTAAAGATGAAATGTGCGGAGTATCGATGCCTCCGGGAATGGACAATATAAACTTGGGGGTTGAAGAAAGGTACGTAGGTAAGATATCCATGAAGTAGTACATGTAAGTCAGGTAATTAAAGTCCACTGTGTTCCATCTGTCCCTCAAGATGATACCGTTTGACAATCTGTAGGCTGCCGTCGCAAGTCCCCCCGAAAACCCCAGGTTTCTACATGTGAAATCCAGCCAAGCCATCTTCAGGCCGCTTCCGTAGTGCTCGTCGATGAAATGATCCCATCCCCGCACAGGTCCCCACTGTTGGGTGACGTTATCGTACAGCTCCACACAGCCGTAGAACTCTCCCCCCACCAGCCGGATCCCGTTGGACTCGTCCGTTACCATGGTAGCGATGTTAAAACGACCTGTGGTGCGCATAGGAAGTAAGAAGAAAAAAAAACTGGAAATGGCAGGGAAGTTAAGAAGAAAGTATAAAGGGGATTATCTACCCAATGGACGCCTGAATATATTTGGGGGAAGGGGATGTTGATAAATACATCCGCTTGCTAGGGAAATGTTTGCTTTGTACATGTAGTTTGTTTTATCACCTCCATGGTACTTTATATAAGACCAAAGCAAATTGAGCCATAAGACACCGCTAGATGGAACGTAAACTAAATAAATACTGTACAAATCATCTGTTGAGTCACAAAATGTATTTTGAGGCCTTACCCAAACACACTGGTTGTGTCCCCAACCAGGTCCTGTTGTCTCTATTGCAGTAGTAGTCTCCATCAGCGATGTCAATGTAGTCGCTATACGGAGGTCCGACTAAGAGGTCTGCTTCGTTTGGGCACTTAACGTTGCAGCGTCCAAGGACCTCTAACCACAAATTTTGACCTCTCCGATCAAGCCTTAGCTCGTGATATGTGTAGTCACAGTCGACTCTAACGCCATCGGTATCCCATGGAAAGTCCCCACAAGGCTTGGGGTCTGAAATAAATGAATAAAAGATATCAGTTCACAAAAACGGATCCAGATGAGGGCCTGTAAAATCATCTTGGGATCACAGTATACGAGCTATAACATGGCACTGACAACCCTGAACCTCAGCTCCCTGGCTGACCGACGTCGTGAACTTTGTAGGGCATTTGCAGAATCCCTGCTGAACTCTGAGTTTCGTGATTGGTTGCCCCCGCTGAGACAGAACATTTCCGGTAGAAGTACACGTAATGCAAATAAATTTGATGTTCCACTCTGTCGGTCTGCACGTCACAAGGACTCACCAATTCCTTTTTTAGTTGAACTGTTAAACGCCAAGTAATCAATATAGTACTTGCGCTCAGACTTCACTTATCTGTCGTGTCTGCAGTATCTTGTACACTGAGTGACCCAGTGGCACAGACGTCTTCTCTTCTGTGTGTTATGATATATTTTAATTTGTAATGTTATGTAATGCATTATATTTGTAAGCGAAAGCGCTTAAAATATGTTTGTCTGTAATCTTATTAACGTTTACCGTATATTGTAATGAGCAACACAATTCAGACTTAAGTCTGCGAGTTGTTTAATAAAGACTGAATTGAATTGAATTAAAAAATGCAAGTACATATGTATAATGGATGGAATGGCTTCATAATTTGTGACAGAAATATTCCCTAGAAAGTCAGGAAGTTTGCTTTTGTAAGGTTTGCACCAGGTCTGAGTGGTTCAGCACTGTTTAATGCTTTATTAATACTCGTTTGTAATGAGAATCCCAAGCCTATTCTCCCCCTTAAGAGTTAAATTTTTCAAAACGTATGCTAAAGGTAAAAATGATGATGTAACAGTAAAAGAAGATTCTTACCCGGGGAGTCATCCTGTTTGGTTTTTCCAGCACAAGCCAGGCACATAGAGTAGTGTCTAGTGCACTCGAAGTCGCTAGGCGTCGAACCGCACGGTCCCCTAACTATACGGTCCACAGCATCATGTAAAGAAGAAATGTCTGGAGTATTGATGCCTCCGGGTATGGACAATATAAATTTGGGGGTTGAAGAAGGGTACGTAGGTAAGATATCCATGAAGTAGTACATGTAAGTCAGGTAATTAAAGTCCACTGTGTTCCATCTGTCCCTAAAGATGATACCGTTTGACAATCTGTAGGCTGCCGTCGCAATTCCCCCCGAAAACCCCAGGTTTCTACATGTGAAATCCAGCCAAGCCATCTTCAGGCCGCTTCCGTAGTGCTCGTCGATTAAATGATACCATCCCCGCACAGGTCCCCACTGTTGGGTGACGTCATCGAACAGCTCCACACAGCCGTAGAACTCTCCCCCCACCAGCCGAATTCCGTTGGTCTCGTCCGTTACCATGGTAGCGTTGTTAAAACGACCTGTGACGCGTTTAGGAAATAAGAAAAAAAATGGAAATGGCAGAAGAATTTTAAAAAAAGCATAAAGGGGGATGTACCCCCATGGACGCCTGAATATATTTTGGGGAGGGGGGTACATCCGCTTGCTATAGGGAAATGTTTGCTTTGTAGGTTGATTTTTACTTTATATAAGGCCAAAGGCAATTAAGCCATGAGACCCCGCTAGATCGATCGTAAAGCTTAATAAATACTGTACAAATCATCTGTTGAGTCACAAAATGTATTTTGAGGCCTTACCCAAACACACTGGCTGTGTCCCCAACCAGGTCCTGTTGCCTCTATTGCAGTAGTAGTCACCGTCAGCGATGTCAATGTAGTCGCTATACGGAGGTCCGACTAAGAGGTCTGCTTCTTTTGGGCACTTAACGTTGCAGCGTCCAACGACCTCTAACCACAAATTTTCACCTGTCCAATCATCCCTTATGTCGTGATAGGTGTAGTCACAGTCGACTCTGACGCCATCGGTATCCCAAGGAAAGTCCCCACATGGCTTGGGGTCTGAAATGAATGATAAAAAGATATCAGATATGCACGTACATGTTATAAAGCATAGTGTGTATAATGGATGGAATGGCTTTGTAATTTGTGACAGAAACATTCCTTAAAAAGTCAGGAAGTTTGATCTTGTATGGTTTACACCAGGCCTGAGTGGTTCAGCGACCAAAGGAATTCCGACACAAACACTCACCTTCAGTAGTCGTTATCGGGCTATTTTCGGTAGTTTGGCCACGGCTTTCGTCGGACCAGACCAGAAGTGTGGCCAAGAAAAGAAGAAAGACCCCCTTTGCCATGTCTCGCACTTGGAACACTTGACTACCTTGTGAGAAAAAGAGACAGGGAACTCTAGACGTCTAGAAAACGAAGACGCCGGCAGCCTGTTAGCCACACCTGTGGACTCCTCTGTACATATACATGGTTCATTAGGTTACGTACTAGTTCCAAGCTGAAAACAACATACCTGAACTCTAAACCTTATTACCTGCTAGGTGCAAAGTTTATTGTCTGTTTGACATGCTAATCAGAATGTCAGCTAGGTGGGCCTGGGGTACGGGCACGTAAACAACAACAATGACTTCATCATGTTTCCGAGTTCCTGAGAGTTAAGGAGTGCATCACGTACACATCTGACGAAGGTTGACGAGATCGTCCAAAAATTTATGGTCAGATTTAAGAACGACACAGACAAGGGAAGTTATTTTGAATTTTTTTCAAGGACTCGAGGTTTATTGCATAGTAACAGACCCACGTCAGCGGAAGATCTCTCCAATCTATATATTCTCGTCACACTGTTACTATGATAAAAAGGCGTTTTCATCATTCCAGAGTCACTGTAACGCCGTCTATTGTCACCAGTAGGCAATGTCATTAATATTTCAAATTTTATATATGACTTAATTTCTACCAGTGTCGCATGTTTTCCCTCTTCGACATGGTGACAGAAAACCACACCGAAACGAGGACGCGTACCTCTCATCTAATACTTCATACACTTTGTAAGGTCAAGGCAGATGTCTCGGTGCAAATATAGCTACATGCCATATTTTACCTTGTACTATTGCTGTACAATAAAGTTTAGTGTCATCAGCCTCCCCTGGTGATCGGATGACTGTAAAGAATGTAAGTCGAATACAAACAGGAATGGGCAGAAAATAACAAGAATAACAACCGATTGTGTCATAATAGTCTGGATGCCATCCTCCATAGTCATAGTGTATAAGTAACGGTATCAGTACAAGCGCTTCTATCCTCTGATGGGAGGTGGGGGTTCGTCAACTATAAACTTTTTAGTTCAATAGCGATGATCTTAGTTGTCTCCCGTATTCCTCACAGGCATACTTGTATGTTTCCCCCCAACCATGGAAAAGCTAGACAGAATTCAAGTTGATCTTATTGGTGACTTTTCTCTAGCGTTTTGTTACGGTATCCCCCCAATTAATATCGGAATGGTTTCACCCTGATTGACAGGATAAGGACTGCATTTTTTTCTGCGCACCTCCTGACTGAGTTGATATAATGACCCCACCCTGTCGATATAAATTCGATAACATAAACTCAGACTTCAGTTTTGTACAGGCAGCCGTGCAGTGTAAATAAGGGGAAGCCTGTCTTCTAAGTATGGTCTACTAGAACAGCTTAGGTTGAAAAGTAAAAACTTTATCTTCAAGAAACTTTTGAAATGACACACACACACACACACACACATACATA